ACTAAATACGTGTTATTCTAAGATAATGTGATACTTTAAGTTTAGTCCACCCGCTTTGGCGTTTAGAACTGAGATGACGCCTACAAAACCTTTCAATACCCAAGAAAACAATCCACTCATCCATGACCTCGTTCTATTATTAGATCATTTCAAATCACCTTGACCGTACAGAAATTATTTATACACTAATTCATACTTCGTGATTCAACCGTGAATAAATACATTAGTATTCACATACCAAATATGAACAAAATCGCTCCACTACTTTTCGAGTTATAGCAAAAATCGTAAAATAACGAGTAAAGGCCGCCATTTTTCAAGATGGCTGCCACGTGCTTCTTTAATGTCTACATTTATAGCTTTATTAATGTCCTTCATAATTTTTTTCCATTTAAAACATATTGCTATTACAGTTTTACATATTGCACCTAAATTACTGTAAAATCGGCACTAAAATGGCCGCCATTTTGAATTGAGCGGCCATTTTGAAAATCGGCTTTGGAGCAGAACTTTTACCCCCATAGGGTATATGTGTACAAAATATGAACAAAATCGGGCCAATGGTATTTGAGTTATCGCCCGGACGGACGGACGGACGGATGGACGGACGGATGAACGGAGGCGTTCCCTATATCCCTCCGAACTTCGTTCGATGGGATAATTATTTATCTTATAATGGGTAATAATGGGAATGGGTTAGATCTGAGATGGTGATTTACTATAAATACAAATGTACAGTATTGGGGTATTGTGTCAATAAGTAAGTGGTTCTATCCAGAATAGATTGGCAGGAGTATCAAATGTGCCAGCAAAATCTTTCAAGGCAATTGAAATTGAGGATTCATGAGATTTGACCTCTCTGAAAACCAACCCCTGCCAAGTCTCTGCTCTAAGAATTCTATAAAATTTAAACAATTCAACACAGGTATAGGCTACAAATAAACAACAAAAAGTTTAATAAAAGAAACATTGATTTCTGTTGTATCTAACATTATTAATTGTATTAAACAAATGAGTCTAGATCACAGACCCAGGAAAACTTGGAAATGGCTTAATGTAATGAGAGAAAGATCACATCGCATTTCTTGGGGTTTCTCATTAGACTAAGTCACCTAACCATTGTCATTAAACTAGTTTACCCATCCTCATTAGCATATTCATGACCTACCCATCCTCATTAGCATATTCATGACCTACCCATCCTCATTAGCATATTCATGACATAACCAAGTCATAAGCATATTAAATACAATTAATCCTTTTTGCCACCACCCTTGATCAATAATAGTCCCATGTGGTATATATCAAAGGTTAAGATTAGCTGCTACTGAATATATGAGTGGAATTCTGTTATAAGACATGAAATACTGATATGAAACGGATCAGTGTTATGATCCCATATTAGCATAGACATCATGTATGACCAAATTTTTTAAAGCTAATGGTAAAACTGCATGTCAATATCTTGCAATATGCTCAAATAAAGTGTTATATCTGTTAAAGCAGAAACCTACTGCCCATGGGTATAATTAGTCTAATAAATTCATTGAATCAAAGAGTGGGTTATTTATGGGTCAAAAGTATGTACTAAGGCAAAAAGCATCATGATATCAACACATTAACATGCATTCTAAAAATACAAACTATTTACGTATGTGTTCGAAACTTCTAGATAAACAAGTTCTAGAACACATTTAGTAAAGTATAAGTTTTAAGTGCTCAACATATGACTAGACTTCTAGATATATTCTAAATAACATTTATAAACACAATGCAGTAAATTCTGTGTATATGAACATCTTTCTAAAATAAACACCTCAAAATGTGAACTTTTTTAGTCCGAATAAATTTTATTTTGGGAGATTTTGGAGAAATTTAAAATTTTGAGAATTCCACTAAAGCAACTGAATTCTGTGCCATCTATTGACAGTTCTGAAGGCCATTGAGAAATATTTTACTGTCCTGATAGTGTCTAGATGTTAAGTGTCTTCATGTTGAACACCCAATGATGTCTAGATTAGTATAACATATACATTACCACACAACAACAGGGCATACCTTTACGTGCAGGGTTCGATACATCTTACAAGACAGAATTATTGAAATCAAACATTTTATATCCACATTAGGTAATACAAGCCAATACCATAATAATTGAAATCAAACATTCAATACCCACATGTTATACAAGCCAATACCATAATCCTTGAAATCAAACATTAAATACCCACATGTTATACAAGCCAATACCATAATAATTGAAATCAAACATTTAATACCCATGTAAATTGGAACCCTATACCATAATAAAATAATTAAATCAAACATTAAATGCCCACATGGTATATACAAGCCAATATCTTTAAAAGGTTTTGCTTGAGTGACCCAAAGCTCAGGTAACCCCTATGATCTTCTCTTGAGGTTGGATGAAGCCATCAGATTTCAGGCCCAAATTCTGATCTGGTCAATTAGTTTTCATAATAGTGGTAACCATTCTTGACTCGTTGGCAGTCAACTTCCCTCCTACTGACTCTTATTACTCAACCACTAAACCAGACCTGATTTGGGAGCTGAAGAATCTGGACAAGACCTAGCCTGAGAAGACCTGATCTGTTTACTTCTCTACCATAGCTTTACCATAGAACAATTCTATCATGCTGAACAGAAGAGCTGTTAACTACCAAATTCATCATAAAGTGGCCATTTCTGAGCATATAAGTGTAGAATTAAATCAGTAAGTATCAAGTTAACATTATCAATGTCAGGGGAGGGGGAAAGATTGAACATCACACTGTAACAAAAAATGAGGAAATGTTTTGAACTGGCTCCTTACATGATGCATGCCTTACATGGTGAATACCTTATATGGTAAATATCTTATATGGAGAATACCTTATATGGTAAATACCCTATATGATGAATACCTTATATGGCAAATATAATGTTAACAGCTCTGTTCTCACACATCATGCACATCTTCAGTTCAGTTTAACATATTGTCCCAGTAATACCACCAATCAGTAACCAATAAGTGGGAAATAAGCACTCAACAAATCTATACAGGCTCAACAGATGCTTATTTCCCACTTTGCCAATTGGCCAATTATCGTTGCCATCTGAGGCATTTTGGGGGACTATGCGTACACTAAGTGCATCTTGTGCATGCAGTTAATTTAGAAATAAATAATGCATTCACCAAAAATCATATTTGAAATGTCCAAAGTAAGAATAATTATTCCCATTCCAAAAGAAACACTAAGAAGTTAAGTTTGAAATAGCTTAATAGCTATATTATATAAGGTGCTTTTTATTTAATATTGCATAAAAGGATTGTTTTTGTACCTTTCAGAAGTGCTGTTAGAATAGCGAGATCAATATCCTGACAAGGTCCATCTCCCATGCGGAACACAGTGATCTAAAAAATTCATCAATAAACAGGGTGGGCCAATAAAAATTGGAATATTTTTCTGTTTATTCAGTTGCCTTTATTATTGCAGTTCAATCCACAAAAATTAGATAATGGTAAACTGATTATTTTTGAAAATGTTTGAAAATGTTAAAGATAAAAATATGTATGTATGATTATTTGAAAATATCACTTCTGTCCTTCAAAAAGGACAAAACATGGGATTTAAACCTATCATGAGCAATACATTAATCGAGTTTTAGAAGAAACAGTTTGACCAGAAGAAACCAAAGTAGCACAATTTTCACTTTTAAAAAAATTACAATGGAACATTAAAGTTCAGGATGATTCAGATTATCATAAACCACTGTCTGAAATAAACAAAGGTTTTATTTTCTATAGTTCACTAAAATATGTAAATGTGATATGTGAATTACTAGAAGCTTTTCATCTTAAATCAAATGCTGAATTCATTGTTATTATGACATCATAGGAAGAACAATAATGCCTATATAGGCAATTGGTAACAGTTATTTTGGTAGTTCTGCTTTATAGGGAGGTATGTATTTATAAAAAGACACAAGAAATACTGGTAAGCCTATATGTTCATGTACCAAAAAGTACTAAATTTAAAGAAATAATAATTACCAATTCCTTTTTCTTGACACATAACATAAGTTCTATGAATAGCTTTTCTGCTTGTTCTCTGGTATACTGGAAGGTCTTCTCAATGGTAGCTATGAGTTGATCTCGTAGACCCTCTGGCATCATGCTGCAACATTAAACATGGTTCAAATCACTATGGTGATAGAGAATGACAAGCCCATTTAAAGCAGATATATACTTTAAAAGTGATAATAATAACTATAATTAAACCCTTAAAATTTAAAAACAGATCCATGGTTTCAACTCATTTTAAAATTGGATGGATAAGATACACTATTCATAATAATTTACATATCTCAATAATTGTGACACATCTATTATAGATTAGCACATTCATGACCCACCAATTCTCATTAGCATATTCATGACCTACCCATTCTCATTAGCATATTCATGACCTATCCCTCCTCATTAGCATATTCATGACCTACCCATCCTCATTAGCATATTTATGACCTACCCATCCTCATTAGCATAATGATGACCTACCTATCCTTATTAGCATATTTATGACCTACCCATCCTCATTAGCATATTCATGACCTACCCATCCTCATTAGCATGTTTATGACCTACCCATTCTCATTAGCATATTCATAACCTACCCATCCTCATTAGCATATTTATGACCTACCCATCCTCATTAGCATATTCATGACCTACCCCTCTTCATTAGCATATTCATGACCTACCCATCCTCATTAGCATATTTATGACCTACCCACCCTCATTAGCATATTAATGACCTACCCATCCTAATTTGCATATTTATGACCTATCCATCCTCATTAGCATATTCATGACCTACCCATCCTCATTAGCATATTTATGACCTACCCATCCTCATTAGCATATTAATGACCTACCCATCCTAATTAGCATATTTATGACCTATCCATCCTCATTAGCATATTCATGACCTACCCATCCTCATTAGCATATTTATGGGTGAATGCAATGAGATCAGCTGCTCTCCCACTGCCATCACATACAACCACTGGAACAGGAGGTGTGTCTGTCACATATTCTAATACTGTACGGATCGTGTTTGTTCCTCCTTCTAGTATTACACAGATAAGTGGAACTCCCTGACTCTTGGCTGTTGACCCTGTAAAATAAATCATGTATAACTTAAGGATAATCAGAAAAAAGAAACAAATAAAATGGTTCAAGAATGACCAAATAGAATCTTTGGCTCACATTTGCCTATTTTCTATAAACAAATATGAGCAAAATATATCCACTAGTATTTGATTTAATTTCAAGATTATGGACTGACTGATGTATGGATGGAGGGCTTTCACTTTATTACTGAACCATCTGTTTGTTAAAATAGACATGGCAAAGTTGCTCTGTATCAAGCAATGGCTTGGAAATCTATAGAAGGTCTGAACATCACTCCTCTGGGTTTAATTCAAAGGAACAAACAGACTACCATGGGAACTTCAATTAAAGCTGAATTCACGAACTTGGTACTTGATGAGCAAATTAATCTATAGAATCAATTTAAACGTCATTACTGAGTGTTTCTACAGGGTGACCAGAAAAAGGGAGACCATTGAAGTAGGCAAAATCTCCTAAACTAGACAAGTGACATCAATGGAATTTTGGAGCTGTGATCATTTTCATTACATGCTCCAATTTGCCACAATTGAGGCCAAGGCAGAACTGGATTCACATGGCAAGATACCCTTACATATTCAGCTCTCTCAGATATTGCCTACTTCAATGGTCTCCTTTTTTCGCAGTCACCCTGTATCTCAGAGGCAAGACAAATTGCAAGTATAACCTAGTTTTGTTTAAATTGACACTGAATTATTTAAAACCAAGACTTCCAAGTAATGATCCAGTTCTAATGTTCTCCTATTAGGCAATACAAGGTCCTAATTGAATTATATAGAGCATTTCCATAATGAAATAAAGCTTGGATTGATGGAAGTGGATTCTCAATCAAAGTGAGAGCAAACTAAGGATATTGTAATTGTAATATGGGTTATTCCAAATTGATTCTAGGTTCATTAGAGGTACTGTATCTCTCTCTCACAGTCAAGTTGTCCCTATCAATGTCTTAGTAGTGTGAGGAATCTAGAGTTCCTTTTAAATGGAAGTCATATTGAATTAACCTCTTGAATCCCAGGCTTTAAATTCGGTTGAAACCAGAGAATTTTTTAAGATGCTCATTTTCGTAAAATTAGTCAGCAGAGCTCATTTATACACATTTTAAAACAATTTTTGTGTAAATTGGGTGAAAATTGTTCAAACAAGAGCAATTTTAATGAAAAATTTTGTGACAGATTTTCTCGTCACTCTTGGTTTTCAAGGTTATTTCTGAGGTGATGAGAAATCTTGTCACTCCAGGTAGTCAAGAGGTTAAGATGAAAAACATAGGTGGGAGGGGGTAGGTTTTAACAATGTGGATGTCTATTCAAAATACTGAATGGTTATCGTCGATCAAGATTACACTTTAATAAGGAAACATCCAAGATAAACCAGATGCTTTTTCCAATATTCTGGCTTTTACCAACCTTCAGTTCTTATCCTGTACATATTCAAAACGATTTAGACTCCAGTGATAACAAGAAAACTACCTTGCACCCAAATGAGAATCTAAAAATCATGAAAAATATTTAGAATTCAATTCCAACATTTTAAAAGGACCATCCTTTAAAGAATTTAAAGTAAACATTGTTTCTTTCACCCTAAAAAATTAAAAATTGAAATATGTGCTAAATAAATAAAAATAAACAAAACCAATACCCAAAAGAGATCGCCCAGAGCAGCATTTAAATGTGATACAGCATGGACAAATTAGAAATTTATGTAATTATGACTGTGCTCTGAAATGACTACAATGATGTCAGAATATGAAATAAGGTGTCTATGCTACTTAATGCTGTATAGAGCACAATTACAATTACTTCTGAACACTTCATGAATACCATATGCACCACATGGGAAAATTGTACAATTATGTCGGAACACCCCTTGGATACCATATACACACCACAAGAGGTGAAGTTTTCTTCAAAGTATGAAACAAATAAATGTTTTCTTTAATTGGTATAGACATTATACCTGGCATTCTCGGACTCCACATGTTGACTTCAAACAAAATATGCATACATAGAATATAACATCTTTATATTATTCAACATAGTAGCAGCTCACAGCATTGGAGCAACTGGTTACTGGGTGCCTTCACCATGTGCAAAATTCAAAAATAACATGCAACCTAATTGAAAAAATATTCTGCCAAAAAGTTGCTATACTGAAATATTTTGACCCAAATTGGTAAAACTAGGATTATGAGCGCCTGTTGAAACTTGGGGAGATCACTGCATCATGCATATAACATTATTATAGTAATACATAAAATAGTAAACACCAATACCTAATGATACTTGAGTTGATCAATGACTAATAGACACTTTTACACATTGGACCAATTAACACTTTCGTTGAGGTTAGTTTCACAACTGCACCATGGCCTTTTTTTATATCATCTTGATAATTAATTCATTAAACTTTCATCAGAACAATAAATTTTTTATTTAAAAACTAATAATCCGAATAGCCCCAAAGGTGGTATTTCACCAGACATTGGAAGATTTATATACCAAGGGCAACTTAAAAATCCATGATCGTATTTTCCTAATTGCTCATTAAAGTCTCATTACCATATAAAAGAGCTTAATCAAAATCTATGTCATAGAAAAATATAATCACTTGATTTTTTTATCAGACTGTAATTTTGTGATCTTTTGAATCAGATATGGATTCCTGGAAGACTTTATACCTCATTTTATCCACAGTAATATTTACAAGGAAATAGGATCTATTATTTTTAGGAATTTAGACAAATAAAATGGACAGTGTCTCTTGAATAATTAAAATGACTTTTAACATAAACTTACGGGTTGAAATCTTCTGCTGGGAAATACACCTCTCAAGCTTTTTACGTAAAAGTATTTCTCCGCCATATTTCCCGACAGTGCCATTATCGACAAGTACAAAGTAGGAATGGTTGCTATTTAGAACTGCACAGTTGCTCCTTCCAGGCTTGGCTATAGGGTGGTATGGACAAACAATCTACAAACAACAAATTGGAATAAATGTATACAGTTAAACCTGTCTTAGTGAACACCTGTTTCTAGTGAACACCTCTCTCTAATGAACACCTGTGTTCTAGTGAACACTCATTCTCAGCACATACTCCACGGACTTCTGTATAAAATTGCCTCTCTAGTGAACACCTGCCTAGAGTGAACACATTTTTCTGGCTCCATAGGGGTTCACTGTACACAGATTTTACTGTATATACTGGTACATTGTCATTTCAACATCGGTACCATACAAAGATTGCAAGAGAAAACAGTTATTAATAATACCATTTCTAGTATACGATTTATTTAAGTTTGAGGAAAACAAACTACACTAAACCCTTATATGAGCAAGAACTAGGTTACATTAATTTTGTGACCTACATCTTTCCCGATGAGTTCCCCTCGGCTGTCTACAACCCCCCATGGGGCTATTCCAATTGCAACGATCAAATTGCTCGACTTAGCAGAACGATCATTAAGCGCATCTCCCACATGCCTCATAACACCTAAAAATAAATAAATCATTGCGTTACAAATTGCATCATGGGTAATTGCCTCCATTTTTTTAAAAGAAAGTCCATGTTAATACCAAGATTTACTTTTTTTACCATTATTAGACTACAGAAGACAAATTAGTTTTTTTAGTTTTTTTTATTCTACAGAAGATATAATTAGTACTGTATATATTTCAATTCTTCCTATAATTGGTGAACATTATCTTTATTCTGTTCATTAGTTTTATGTACCTGAATCTGCTTATGTTTAAAATATTATTAACAGTGACCACATAATTCATCTTGAAATAAAGTTCACATCCCAAGAAAATTAAAAGACAAATATGATATATCCTACTATACAACCATGGTTGCCAAACTATTTTTGTCATTAAACTTTGTGTCATGGTTAAAATACTTCCAAATAAAACATTTCCAAAAATCATTCCATGAATTAAAGCAAACGAGGCATTATCATGCAAAATGTCACAACCTGCCCTTTGTTACAGATACAGACTGCTGAACACCAACTGGAAAACATCAACTGCCAAACACCATCCACAAAAAAGCAGGAAACTAACATGTGTCAACACTTATGGTGGTGACATAAAAACCAGAAATGACAAAATTAAAGATAATCCACCATTTTCCAAAATGGCCATCTTATTGATTTTGATCAATGAATGATGCTCTAATATCAAACACCTTACAAAAATATGTATGTAGTACCTGTGTTGGTTCCTCCAGTAACAATCCAAGCTCCTGTTGTCTTTGCAGCCTTCAGCAGTCCCTTTCTAAACACCCTCTTCAGTTTAGGCTGGAGGTCAAAGTTTGCGATACCTCCATTGATTGAAATCAGCAGCTTGGGAAGGTCTAACCCCCAGTGTTTAGTGAGAAGCTGTAGGATAAGATCAGGCCTGGTATCGTGACACACCCGCACATATTGGGCCTTTGTGGGATGAGCCCCACCCTGGAACTCTAGGGTGCCATAAGCATCAGTAGAGCTGGACTCCGTATGAGCCTTGACATTCCAATGTTCTTCGGAAGGAAATGGAGCAGCTCCAGGTCCAAGGTAAGGGTGCGATGCCAGTAGTCTTCCACATCCACACCTAGGGGTATAATAAAATAGAGTTAGTCTAAATGTCTGAACATTCCAGTATTCTATAGAAGAAAATGGAGCAGCTCCAGGTCCAAGGCAAGGGTGCGATGCCAGTAGTCTTCCACATCCACACCTAGGGGTATAATAAAATAGAGTTAGTCTAAATGTCTGAACATTCCAGTATACTATAGAAGAAAATGGAGCAGCTCCAGGTCCAAGGCAAGGGTGCAATGCCAGTAGTCTTCCACATCCACACCTAGGGGTATAATAAAATAGAGTTAGTCTAAATGTCTGAATATTCCAGTATTCTATAGAAGAAAATGGAGCAGCTCCAGGTCCAAGGTAAGGGTGCGATGCCAGTAGTCTTCCACATACACAGGAGTATAATAAAATAGAGTTCGACTAGGGGTTCCTAAACAGGACATTAAAGCTTAATTAAGGCCTTTTTGAAATTTTTGTTTAGGTAACTATTAACCTAATTCTGTAAATAGAGCAGCCTTAATTTTTTGTTCTCCATAAAACATGAAATATAAAAGGCTTCCATAAAGCCAGCGTTGCATGACAGATCCCATTAACATTGGAGTCATAAGTATTGCATCATTGGAACAATGCATCCTTATTACAGTTGACACGAGCATGCAATGCTACAATATGACACCATTCTAGTGAAGCACCAGGAAATGATAGGTTGAGTGTTTTACAAGTGTTATTATTGGAATGACGTAAGTATCATAAAGAGATCCTTAACTACAGAAGCAATAACATCCCAAAGGGATGAAATATGGAAACAAAAATGCTGATACTTATAGTTAACCTACTATAGTCAGACTTTCATCAGTGATGCAGGAACATTTTCTGAGTATCCCCTGCTCCAGAGAGCTCCAAAGTGCCAAACAAATCAATTGAAAGTTCCCTCATTTGATTATAATGGTATAATTATTAACTTTATCACAGATCTGCTTGTGTTGTTTGAATTCAATACTCTATTGCATGTTCACTTTGCTATCAAATAAATACAATTGAGCAGTTAGTGAGTTCAACATTTCAATTTAAAAGCTGATCTTTTTATGAGGGTTTCATTTCTTTTACGCTTATCTGACGTAAACATATTTCATTTTCAATTCTCAGGACAGTGGCAAGGAGATATAGATGTATTAACGATTTGTGACAATGATCTGACCAATCATTTAAGGCAAAAAAAGGCAATATCAGATCATGCGTCAAATTAGATTTATGTTTATCTTCGCTAAATGTAACTGATAGGGGTCCCACGATACATTATCTTTAATTTTGATACGAGCAAAGATATTTACCTCACATTATGATACAAACAATCTGAGCAATGTAACAGCGTAACAAATACTTTTATTTTCAAAAAGATATGGGAAAACAAGATATTAAGATGCCAAATGTACCAACTGCCGAATTTCGAACTCGTGAAACAGTATGTAACTATGGATGTCCTCCAAAAACTAATGTCCACTCGTGTCCAGTGTCCATCCATGATTTATATTTTTATTTCATGATCTTTTTCAAACTGTTTTCATGAAACAAAACCGGATATCCTATATAAGAGGTACATTCTATGCCAGATTTCACAAGGAACAAAAGGAAAAAAGGGAAGATACAATCTTACATTATTTAATATGCTTTCGAACATGATTTTGCTGTTTTGGGAGGTTAAAAACGATACAGAATTTTAACCGATATTCAAGTTGAGTATCGATACGCTCGTATCATGACCAATTGCTCAAGCAAATCCGAGCAATCGCGAGACCCCTAGTAATTGCCATCTATTGACTCCAATTGACTGATTGTGGACTTACTCTCAAAAACACAAAAACATACAATTTTGTTAGCCAGAGATATCTTATATCTTATATAAGATATTTTTACACAAATGGTATCATTTGGAAGCTTTCTATAAGTCCATGTCCAGATTATCTCTGAATAGTCATAATTCAAGAGGCTGATAATTCTATGGATACTGTATGTTTTATAAAAGTGTTTTGACTTGATTCTTCCTACTGGGAGCAGCATGTTTTATTCACAATGATACAGCTTTTGATTGAATTTCTCGAAGAAGAAAGCTTGCTAAATTACTGATTGTATCTAAGACTTGAAGTTTACATTTTGCACGTCCCTTGTGCCCAAATGAAATCTGCTAGCATACAGATATTGTGGAACTTATATACTCTAATACATAATCCAGGGCATGCCGTCACTCTTCATTATAACTAATTGAGGTTTATTTCTTGGTTAAATGGAGGTATGGTGAGCCGATTTGCTATTTAGAAGTCATAAGGGCCAAATGTTTTAAGAGCAATGAAATTATGAAGCAATGAAATTATGAAATACTAAACACAGTAATGAGGGACATCATAAAATGTTTTGTTTAATCTGATAATTAAAGGTTGAAGAATAACAGCCAAAATTCTCCTCAATTCATAGAGTAAGCCACAACCCCTAAAATGCTATGCTATTTTTGTATGACAATGATAAATTGATGAGACCAAATACCTTTATGATCTCTTTCATTCAATATTAATACATAACATATGTGCATAATTGATGGAAAGAATAAGAACTAGACTTTGGAAATTGAACGAAGTTCAATTTCAGACTCCAGATCTAGACTTTTTTTAGCCGAGTCATCCAGAATAAGCCGAGTCATCCAAAATAAGCTGAGTCATCCAGAAAAAGATGGATGGATGGATGGATGAAAAAGGAAGGAAGGATAGGCTAGAATAGGAAGGAATGATAGGATAGAATAGGAAAGAATGATAGAATAGAATATGAAGAAGGAATAGAATAGGAAGGATAGGAAGGAGAGGATACGAAGGAAAGGTAGATAAGAAGGATACGATAGTTTCACAAAGGAAGGATGGATGCAATTTTCAATATTTTCTTCTCTACTCTTGACTTTCTATCAGGATACCATCAGATCGATTTTTCTCGAAATTTCAAAACGCCATAACTTTCGAATCGGAAGTCGGATCAAAATTTGGTTTGCAGACTCGGATTCCTGAGAAAATTCTACCCTTAATTCATAACTCATATGTTAAATTTGGAGAACTTTTTATTTTGACCTTCTTTTCGGACACCATATCTCAAAAGTGGGTCGAAATACTTTCTGACGGCAAAAGGCTAACACTATTAGCACACTCTTTCGTACCTGTATACAAAATTTTAAAGCAAATCATTTAAACATAGTGTCAGAATCGCAAAAATAAGGAAAAACTATGAATTTGACATACATTTTGACCTAGGGATTTTGGTGTCCAAATTTTGAAGTTAGGTAGCCTTCGAGGTCCCCTTCTTTCATAGGCTTTCATTATTTTAAGCTGTACTTAGTCTATATCTCGAATTTTACACTTCAAAAAAAATTTTCCCATTGACATAACATGGGACACCAAATTTAGCGATTTTTGAGCTTTCAAAATGTCATAACTTCCGAACAAGAAGTCGGATCGAAATTTGATTTGCAGATTCAGATGCCTGAGAAAATTCTATACTTAATTCATAACTCAAACGTTAAATTTGGAGAATGTTTTAGTTTGACCTACTTTTGGGACACCATATCTCAAAAGTGGGGCAAAATACTTTCTGACGGCAAAAGGCTAACACTATTAGCACACTCTTGGCTACATGTATACAAAATTTCGAAGAATATAATTAATCTGTAGTGTCAGAATCGCAAAAATAAGGAAAAACTTTGAAATTTGACCTAGATCTTGACCTAGGCATTTTGGTGTCCAAATTTTTATGAAAAGAAGGTTTTGAGGTCCCTTTCTTTTATGGGCTTCCATTATGTTTAGCTGTGCTTAGTCTGTATCTCATATTTTACACTTCAAAAAAATATTTTTTCCCATTGAATTAACATGGGGCACCAAATTTAGCGATTTTTGAATTTTCAAAACGCCATAACTTCTGAACTGGGAGTCAGATCGAAATTTGGTTTTCAGATTCGGAATCCTGAGAAAATCTCCTATAAGATTGATATCCTGGACATTGGATTCGGAGAACTTTTTTTTGGACCTCGTTTTCGGACACTGATATCTCGAAATCGGTTTGAGATACCAAGAAACTAAATCGACCCTAGATTTTCTACTTTTTTATGAGAAACACAATGAAAAAAACCCGGATCAAAAATATTGAAGGACGACCGAGAAAATCGAAAAAAGTGACAAAGTACTGGATTTGACCTAGTTCTTGACCTTTGACCTAGATAAAAATTTGACCCAATTTCCCACCAACTAGATACTAAACCTAAATGAACTGTATTATGGTATTTACTGGATACCTTATAGTTATTGAAAAAACTCAAAAAGAATAATAAGAATAATAATAATAAGAATACTGGCAAAAACAATAGACTCCAGATTGACATCTGGAGTCTAATAACATGGAGAAAATAGGATCATAAACACTTTAATGCAAACTATTATCTTATGTTATTAGACATCATTGTAGGGTACTGATGCTACAAGAAATATGGTTACTCAAATCTGTAGATTTATCATTTGTGGTCATAAGTACATTTAGGTTTTCCACAACATTTTTGAAAAAAACATTCAAGCAATTTTTGAGAAAATTCTCAATCTGTTGAGAGCATCAATCCTTAGTAAATACATGTACTGTATGAAATTATTCATAGAAAATGATTATATCAATTTGACATGTCTAAATTAATGCATTGAATATTATAAATTCAATTTTATAAAAAAAAGTAATGACAAAATCAAAATTAATAAAAAAAGATTTTCAATGCTCTTACTTGCTGGGATCTTTGGCACTTGGTATAAACTTGACACATTCTCTCTTCAGGAAAACTTTCTCAATCCAGCTTTTCTGACTCTGAAAGTATAAGACAAACAAATCTTATTTCATTAGCTCATACATTTAACCATGCTCACATTTAAGTTCATTTAGAGCTTCAGCTCTTACTAAAATTCATTCAACAGAAATGGGACAAGGCATTAACATGCAAAATGTCACCACCTGCCATTT